TCAGCCCCCACCCACCCTGATTGGAGCCCCCCTGGAGCCTCCAGCCCCCTCACTCTGAGCCCTGAGGCCCTCCACCCAGAGGCTCCAGAACACCTTTGCTGGATGTGTTGGGCACCCCTGGCTTCACTGACGACAGAAGGGACTAGAGCTCTTGCCAGGTCTTTCAAAGACCCACAGCTGCTGACCATCTTGGGCAGACCAGCAGTTCTGACCGTCTCTGGCAGCTGAGCCCATCTCCCACAGCCCAACCGGGGTGGGGCTCAGGGCCCAGGGCCTCTGAGCTGGCCTGAGGGCACTTGCTCTTCCCGGAGGGGCGCAGTGGCTGCCTCCTAGTCAGCTGGAGTTTGGCCTTTTGGCCCTAGCCTTTGTGTAGAGGGGGTCCTGATCGTAGCTTGGGGGGTGGGGGAGGACATTTTGGCCTGTTGGCGGTTCTTCCTCTTCCCTTCTTTTAGCAATAAGTCTGGGGTGAGGTAGGGAGGGGCTGGAGGGGGGAGGGGGCCGAGAGTCCCCTGGGGCTTGACAGCAGCTGAGACTTAAGGGGCGGCTCTCCCGGCTTTGGCCACACAAGAGGCCTCCAGGGAAGTGCTGAGCTCTGAGGGTGCCCACTTCACTTGCCACCTGAAAGCTTAGAGAAAGAAACAGATGCAGACATGGGTTTATTTTTCAATGTTTTTTAAAGAAATAAAACCTTCCAAGCTCACTGAGTCCTCTCTCCCTGTTGGTGTAAGGACCCTGGGCTTCCTGACTGCCATGAGGGTAGGGAGGGTGCGCCCCGGCCTGACAGGAACCCATCCTCCTGCAGGAAGGCGGCTAGGCTGCGTCTTGCCCACAGGGACTGGGTCCCTGCCCAGTGGGGAGAATAAAGAGGAGGAGGTAGCTCAGATTCCAAACATTCTCTTTATTACGTGTTTGATCCAGAGGAGAAACGAAGTGCAGGAGTGGGGGGCTGGGTGGGGAGGGCCGCCTTGCCTGGGAGCCCCTGGCCACCATCCCCCCCTTGGGAGCCAAGCCATGCCCTCCCAGCCCCTCGGAGCACCAGGGCTGTTCCATAGGGCAGGAGGGGAGGAGGGGGGGGAGGGAGCCCTTGGTCGGAGCCGAGCCCGAAGCTGGGCTTGGGGGCAGGAGGACTGAGGTTGGCATGGCCCCTTCCTGGGACCCAAGGGCTTTAATTGCCAAGGAGCCTGGCCTGGGAGTGGGGGTGATGAGTAGGGGTGGAGTCATCATAAATCAAAAAAAATAATAAAATAATAAAATAAAAAATAAAACCCATCACAAAAAATGTACAACTCAGGTGAGGGTAGGGGCAGCCTCTGTGCTGGACCCCTTCCCCCAATTTCTCAAGAAAAGAAACAGCAGAGAAATAAATTAAGGGATGCAGCGGCCACCACCAGCCAAGCGCCCACCACCAGCCACTCCCACCCTGGCCACAGGTTAGCAAGCTGGGAGTGGCCTGGCCTGTCCCCCACCCAGTGGAGGGCAGAGGCCCGGCCCTGCTGCCCTATCCGGCCCCCGCCAGTGGCCTGCAGGCTCTGGGCAGTGTCTCCTGAGAGGAGGGGTGACAGTGTCAGGAAGAAAGGCAAGGCCAGAGATGAGTGGTGAGGGAAGTCACTGCTATGGAACTAGCTGGTGCCCAGATTAATGCCAATGAACGGAGCAGTGGGGAGAGAAGAGGAGCGGCGAGTGAGCGGGCTTCGCTCTGCGCTTTCAGACAAAAGGCTCTCCCATAATGGAGAACGCCCAGCCCAGGCGGCCCCCTGGGGCCCAGGAGCCCATCTGCCCAGCAGTCCCCTCCCCTATCCCAGCCCTAGGGTCAGCCCCGCCTTCTTCCCCGGGAGGGGGTGGGACAAGATGGCACAGACTTTTGAGGGGGGGACCAAGGTCCCCACAGCAGCTTGTGGAAGGAAATGCCCAGCTCTGGGAAGGGGGGCAGAGGATACAGTGTGGGGGGAGGCTGGAGCCCCACGCCTCGCTGCCAGCCCACCCACCTCAGGGCTGCACAGCACCCCCACCCCAGCCCCTAGCCCCCCAGGCTCCAGCCCAGGGGCCTGAGGTCAGGGGAAGGCCACCTCTGGTGGTTTGCTTGGAGGGGAGGGGGAGAGGGGAGAAGCCCGCAGTGGGCCTGGCGGAGGGCCTGACAGGGAGCTCCACCACTCTTGCCTGAGAGTGTTCCAGCCCTGAGCCACCCTCCCGGGAAACCCCACAGATCCAGTCTCGACTGTCCCAATGGGGCAGGGAGGAAAAATGGCCGCTGGGATTTTTTTTTTCTTTTTTCTTTTTGGTAATAAAAAAGTTCTTGGTTTAGGCGAAATACTCTGTGCAACCGCAGTACCGAGGGGAGCCCTGCCCCCACCCTCCCTTCCTTTACCTCCTGTGGGAGAGGGGGAGGGCGGCATCTGGGCAGGGGTCAACGTGGGGGGAAAGAACCATCTCCCATCCCCACAAACATGGAAGAAAAAACTGAGCAGGGCGGGAGGGAGAAGTGCCAGCAGGGGGAGACACGCCATCCGTCTGCAGTCTCGCCCAGGTGGGCCGGAGCGGTGGGCCAGCAGCTAAGTCCAGCGGCCCGCCTCCGTCGCCCCCCACTCCTGGCAGCCTGTTAAAGCTTCAGCTCGTTGGCTATTTTGGAGGCAATGTTTTTGAAGGCCATGGAGGTGCCCGATATCCGCTTAAACCGCACCCCGTTGAGGGAGAGCCGCGGCAGTTTGCACACCTCCATCTCCCACTGCACGAAGTCCTCGTGGCCCGGCGTGCCGTGCATGCACAGCAGCATGTACTTCTCGTGCAGCTCGTTCTGGCAGCTGTTGGCGTCCAGCACCTTGCGGATCTCCCGCATCATCTCGTTGGGCTCCATGGAGCTCGTGGTCTTCATGCTCCACGTGAAGCGGAGCGAGCGCGGCTTGGCCTCCCGGGACTCCTCCTTCTCCTTGTCGCTGCCACCACCGCCCACCACGTGAGGTCTGTGGAGAGGCAGAGCCGAGTCAGGGGACCCAGGACCCACCCATGGCACCACCCTGGCGCCAGGGACCCTGAGAGCAGAGCAGAGAGCAGTGGGCGGGCGAGAGGCGTGGGTAGTCCTGGCCTCCACCTGGGCAGAGGGGAGGAGCCAGGCAGAAGCCAGCCGCGGGCGGGCAGGGGTACAGTCGTGCTTCCCTTGGAAGAGGGGAGGGTCAGGGAGGAACGGGGAGCACCGCTCGGCAGCCTGAATTCAGGGCTGGACACGGGAGCGCGGAGGCCCAGACAGGTGAGCAGGGCTCCTCCTTCCAGACCGCAGAAGGGCCCACCCTGCGCTGGGGGTTCTCTGAGGAAAAGGGAAGCCTCAAGAGGGTGGCGAAGGGGTGGCAGGAGGAGAGGAGCGGGAGGCGTGGCAAGCCCGGAGGCCGGGGCAGGGCCGGTGCTGGCTCCAGCCCTCTCACCTGAGAGTCTCCACTCGATCTTTGCTTTCAGGTTCATTCAGGTTCCTCAAAAAACAGAGCGAGGGAGAGTTTAGTGCTGGGGCTTCTCGCTCCTTCCACCGTCGCAGACCCAGGTGAGGCAGTCCAGGGAGGTGCCGCCGAGGGCAGGCAGGACCCAGCCCTGAGGCCGCTTTCCCGTCACCCGGCAGGCACCTCACACCGGCAGCTTTCCAACAGGGAGCCCGCCCCTCCCCACAGTCCCAGAGGAGTGTGCTGGGGAGGAGGCTGTGGAGGTGCAGGCACCCGCACCCAGCAGTCACCGGGCAGGCAGGGCCCCGGCCCACGGCCAGGCTGCTGTGCGGGCATCTTCTCAGAACCACAGGCCTCTGGGGGAAGGGGCTGGGAGCTCAGAGGGCCAAGCTCTGGAACTGCTTTGATGTGCTCAGGGATGGTGCCTGGGGCCCCAGACTAGCCCACCTCCCCCATTCTTTGATAACTCCCCTGCCTGCCAGGCTGCCAAGCCATCAGATTATACAGAAGAGAGGACGCAGGGCAGGGCCGGGCCGGGCAGACACCTTGGGTGTGGGGAGAGATCTGGCCCCGCTGAGCGGCTTCTCCAGCTCCTGGCTGGAAGATGGGTGCCTGGAGCTGGGAAATTGGGGGTTGCAGAGGAGGGCAGGGTGTGAGGAGAGAGAGAGAGAGAGAGCAGCAGCAGCACATGTAAAAGGAACACAAAGACATCAGACACACAAATGCAGATAAGCGCACTGCGGGCCTGGAGCCTGGGCTGCGCAAGGGAAGGAGCCTGGCTGCTCTCTCGGGCCACACCTGGCTCTTGCCCTGTGGGTGGAGGCGCCTGCAGGGCTGGCCCCCACATGAGTCAACAGCCAGCCATGCAGTGAAGAGCTGGGTGGGGTCGGTAGGAGGAAGGGGAAAGCCTGAAGACCCTGTCTCGGCTGTTTCTCTGTCAGCTGGGGCACCAACGTGCCTACCAGGTGTCCTAGCACAGGGCCGGGGCTGACAACCTTGGGAAACCTGGCCCTTGGTCTTCAGCTTGGTATTTGGCCCACCCAGGCCTCCAGAGAAATGAGGAGGCCCGGAGTGGGGACGGAGCCAGGATCCGGCCCAGGAAGGGAAATGCCTGAGGGAGGGGGATCTCCCCGTTTTGCCAGGGCCCTAGAACATCCCAGCTCCTGGCTCTTTGGAAGCCACAGGCCATGGCTGTGTCAGCCCAGAAGGGAGGCGGCTTGGTTCATTCAGATACTGCTGGAGGCAGCAGGTGTGCTGGGGGGTGGCCCGAGCTCCGCAGGAGCTGCCAGAGGGGTGCTGTGCCCCATTTGTGAGGCAAAGGCTCCTTGGGCCCAGCGGCGGCAGACTGAAGCCCTGGGACCCCGAGTCCCTGCAGTACATCCGAAGTCCTGCCATCCCTGGGACAGGGGCAGAGGTCACAGAGCCCAGAGGTTCGCAGGGACAGAGACAGGGAAGCCAGGAGCCCCAGAATGAGAGACCATCCCAGGTATACTGTCGACCTCGGCAGGGAGACCCTCTTGGGAGCGCATGCACAGACAGGGGAAGGGCCAGAACACAAACCCCATATTCGAGACCAAAGACCAAAACCCAGAGGTGGGGGTGGGGGAGGAGACAATCTTAAAGGGAGAATTCCCTGAGAAGACCCCCTGCTTGGGGATAGGCCCATCATCTTCAAAGTCATCTGCCCGAGTGGGCAAATGTGGCCTCACACGGCGGCCCAGTCC